GCCGACCACTCCACGTGCTGGATCTGGTCCACGCAGGTGTACAGCTGCAGGATCTGGAGGCTGCTCGCGTCCCGGACCACCAGGCGGTACTGCACGCAGGAGGCCTGGGGGGGGGGGCGTGAGAAGGGGCCGGCAGGGTCAGCGCCTGCGCTCCCCCCACCCACACCCCCACCCCGACTCGGGAACCCCGCCTCCTCTCCTCTCCGACGAGCTTCCTATCCAGACGGTTCCCTGTTCGCCGGCAGACTTACAGCCCATTTCGGGAACGTGAGTTAACAAAAAAATAAAGCCGAGACAGACAGACTAGGTGTTAGAACTGCTCCAGTCCAGCAGAACGTATTGTTTGAAAACCCCACTCAAGTAACTCCCTGCTCCCGTCTTCGCTGTGTGTTAAAACTAAGCCCGAGCTGGCCGAGCGCGGAGGGAAGCTCTCCCCGGAGCCCGGCCCTCTGCGGGTGGCGGCGCTCGCAGACGGTTCGCGAGGGAGCCGGGCTCCCGGCGGCGCCGCTGCTGCTGTGGACGACCATGGGAACGACAGTTCTCTTTTTTATTTTTTAAAATATTTATTTATTTTTAGCGAGCAGGAAGGGAGAAAGAAAGGGAGAGAAATATCACTGTGTGATTGTCTCTCGAGTGCCCCCTACTGGGGACCTGGCCCAAAAACCCAGGCCTGTGCCCTGACCGGGAATCAAACCGGCGATCCTTGGGTTTTCAGGCTGGCGCTCAGTCCACTGAGCCACACCAGCCAGGCCCAACAGTTCCTTTTTGTACAAAACCTACTCGGAGCCAAACCCACTGGAGTCAAAATGTGTGCATTACACTCTGCAGACGGAAGGGTGCGTCATAAATGCTCATTCGCCTCCTGGGGCACAGTGGAAAACAGACACTTGTCCCGGCCCCGGCTGTCCTGGCCCCGGTGACTCCTGGTGACAGGAGCGCCTTCTGTTCCAACGAGGAGCCTGGGGGCTCCCGGGTGAGGCTGGTCCCCAGAAAGACCAGCCCTTAGAAGCTGGGCACGTGCAGCCCTGCCCCCACGCCCCTGGGAGGGGAGGCGGCTGAGAAGGGATTTAAGGACCATCATGCCGGCGTGAGGAAATCTCCACGCGAGCCGCAGCGACGCGGGCCTCAGAGAGCTCCAGGTGGGCGAGCTCGTCCGCACGCCTGGGGGGGGCGAGGCAGCCCAGCTCCACGGGGACAGACGCCCTGCGCTGGGGACCCCCGGCCTCACCCCACATCCTCCTTTGTCGGCCGCGCATCTGTGCACATCGTTTCCTTCAACACAGCAGTGACGTCGGTCAGCGTCCCCGATGCTGGGAGCTGCGGAGCAGCTTCGCCAAACCCTGGGGGGGTGGGGGGAACCCCCACTGGCAGCCAGGTCGGACAGCCGCGGCGGGTAACCTGGGCACCTGCTGCTTGCGACCGGCACCTGAAGGGGGCGCTCTCGCGGGACCGGGACCTGGGCCTGCGGGATCTGGGGCTCTCTGCAGGAAGGGTGTGCGAGTCAGGCGGCGCTGCAGAGCTGCTGGGTGGGGAGGACCCCCATTTGGTGACCAGAGGTGCTGTGAGCGCGGGTGGCCGTGTGGCCCCGAGGGGTGGACAGGAGGCGTTCCTCACACACGTTAACTGACGGCCGGTACGGACCACTGAGCTGCTGGGCCCCTCGGGTCCCCGAGAGACGCGGTCTCCCCACGCCCCGGCCGGGCCCGCGTCTGAGCCGACAGCTCCTGCCTGAGCGCCCCCATCGGATGGCTGCAGATCCCGGCGCAGTGCGGGGCCGGGGCCTGCCTTCTGGACGGTAACTCTGGTAACTCCTTCCCGTTCGTGCTCCTCGGGGTCGCACGAGAGGACTGGTTGGGGGGTTTCGAACTCCCGTTGAGAAAAGGGCCGCACGAGTTCTCCGCGGACAAAGGAGGGAGGCAGGGCCCCTGCGGATTAGAACAAGCGTGTCTGTCCCTTCGCTGTAGCTTCCGACACCGTGTCCGTTACGGGGACTCCCGGGAGATGGAGTACTGGTACCAAAACATGCAGAAAAGGGGCCAAATCTGGGCAAGATATTAAAAAGGGCCACACGGCCCCGCCTCCCTGGCAGGTGAGACATGGCCCTGAAGAATGCGACCACCAGGTGTCTCAACATTTTGACCAGAGTGTAAAAATCAAAGAAATACCAAAATGAAGCAAGGAAATATAATTTCCCTCTTTATAAGTCACTGGAATTTTCATAAATGATTTTTTAAAAACTAATTTATAGAGGGCACTTTGAAAAGTGGACCAAGTGTTTTGGAGTGACGCTTTTTTTTCATCCTCACAGGAGGATAGATGTATTGATTTTAGAGAGAGAGAAGGGGGGGCAAGTAGAGAGAAACATGGATCGGTTGCCATGGACCCTGTTCACGCCCCAACTGGGGATCGAACCCGAAACCTCGGCATGCACCCTGACCAGAAATTGAACCCGCGGCCTTCTGGTGCACAGGACGACGCTGCAACCGACAGAGCCACTCGACCGAGGTGTGCCATTTAAGCTAAAAACACGTTGCCTTTTGCAGCTGAATGCTACTGTATATGGTGTTGAATGACACTTCCACAAGGAAGGCAAACGCCTAACTTGGGAGTTACATTTTCAAAGACCTAGATGAGATTGAAAGGAGTATTAGGAACAGCCCAGACTGAAAAAGAACCACGAAGTGTCAGTCAAGAGAGGACTGGTGGACCTAAGAACACTGTTTAGCCCTGGTGGGTGTGGCTCAGGGGCCTGAGTGCCAGGCTGTGATAGGAAGGGTTGCCGGTTCGATTCCCACCCAGGGCACAAGCCCGGGTTGGAGGCCAGACTTCAGTTGGGGGGGGGGGGTTCTGAAAGGGAACCACACACTGATGTTTCTCTCCCTCCCTTCCCACTCTAAAAATGAATTTAAAAATCCTTTTTTTTTACTTTAAAGAATAGTTTTTATAAGGCATGACTTTTTTCTTAACAGGCTTTGCAATGAAAGTTACCTGCCACCCACCACCCGACACCCCCCACCCCCCAGGCCTCGGGGACAGGCACTGGTCTTATCCGAGTGTTTCACACCCCACCAGTGCGCCGCACAGGGCAGCTCCGCGATGTCCCCACCGCTCTACCACCCTGGAACGGCCAGCTCAAGTCCCCGCAGCGCGGACAACTCGCTGCATCTGGACACGGAATGCTGGTTAGTTACTGGGCACGTGGTAGAACTGGCGTCGAGGCCGGGGAAAGGGGTCAAAACGCAGCTGCCCCGCTGCCCCCGTGCGCAGACGGCAGAGCTGCGTCTCCGCCTTCTGGTGACAAAGTAACGACGACGACGACGAGCTGATGTCTCCAGGGTCCTCGAGTGTGTCCCCACTGCTCTGCTCTGCTGTGCTGTGCCGTCCGCGGACGGAAGCCCGGGTGCACGGAGGCCGGCCCCCGCCCGGGGGTCTGTGCCCAGGTCTCCCCTCTGCGGGACAAGCCCAGCTCCCCCGTCCGCGTCCCGCCCCCGCGGACCCCCAAGCTGCCTCCACCCCGGGCCCCGCGGCCGCCTCCGCTCCCGGGCTCGGGGTCCCCGCCGCCCAGCGCGGACACGCGCCTCCCCGCGTGGGCCCACCCGCGGCCCAGGCCCCGCGGCCGCTCACCAGGTACTTGCCGTCCGGGGAGAACTTGCACAGCTGGCTGGAGAGCTTGAACAGCTCGGAGAAGTTCATGGCGACCGCCGCCCGCTGCGCGGGACCCTGCGCTGCAGGGCTCTCCGGCTCAGCCACAACCGCCAGCCCCGCGCCCGGAAGTGACGGACGGCTGGGAACAAGCTGCAACCTATCAGGGCCAGGGCGCCCCGCACGGCATTATGGGACTTGTAGTTCGCCCTGGAGGCGCCACCGCGCTTCTTGCAACCCGGGATTCCCCCGGTGCGTCCCTCCAGCCAGGGTCGCTAGATAAAACGCAGGACGCGCGCTTATATTTCAGATGAACAACGAATCCTTTTTGGTATAAATATGTTCCCAAATACTGCACGGGACATACTTGTACTAAAACATTGCCTGCTTATCTGAAATTTCACCTTTAACTGGGCGTCCTTTGCGCTGTGTATTTGTATAAGTATTTATACTTGTGAATGCGTTTATGCGTAAATGAACCGGCATAAAACACGCACTTGCGTGTAAATATATAACACTGTATGGCATGTGCATGTATTTTGTACGTGGTGTATAAACATTCGTTTCTCTCTCTTTCTCTCTCTCTCTCTTTTTTTTTTTTTTTTGGCTAAGTCGGCCAAAAAAAAAAAAAAAAAAAGCGAGTCCCCGCCGGGCGCGCGGGCGCAGCTGAGATCCGCGGAGAACGAATTTGACGCTCACTCGGCGGGGAGAGCGCGTGGACCGCGCTCAGCGGCGAGTCCGCCTCACTCGCGCCTCTGCGCTGGGACCGGGCCCACTCTTAGGGGGCGCAGCGAGCTCCTGCGTGGGCGCTGGCTTTGAGGGCTTTGCGACCCACTCCTGTCCTCTTGTCCACTCGGCGATTTACCGCCCCCCCGCCCCCACCCGAGTGCGTCCCCGGAGAGGCCCCGACAGAACCTCCGAAGCCTGCCAGATCGCGCGCACCGCGACTCCGCGCCCCACCTTGCGTTCTGAGAACCGAGACGCGCCCGCGCCCTCCAGGCCTTCGCGGGGCCAGCCCGCTCGCACCCCTCAGCCTCCCGGGACGAGCCGGGGTGGGGGACGCTGTGCCCCGCAGCGCCGACCGTCTCCGTGCCCGACCTTATTAGCATGTGCGTGTGGTTCGTTTTTTGCGTCCCCTCCCTCGGCGCCTCGCGAGGGGTAGGCGAACAATAAAGGCGTGAAGAAGTCCGCGCGGCGCACGCACCAGGTGCGGTCGGTGTAGAGCTCGGGCGGCCAGAGCACTCGCTCCGCGCCGGCCCGGCTCGCGCGCAGTTCCGCTGGCGACCCTGCCGGGAGGGTCACCCTAGCCTGGGGGGATCGTTGCAGGGACAGAACACGGGCCGCAGGAGCAGCAGAGGTCAGCGCACGGCAGGTGCCCGCTGCCGAGGGCTGCTGGAAACTCGCTCTGCGTGTGGGGCTTGCCCTACGGGGGTGGGGGTGGGGGAGGGGAAGAGGGGGTCTCGGCCTCGAAGCCGCAGGCGTCGCGGGCCTAGGGAAGCCCCGGCCTGAGGCGGTTTCTGCACGCGAAGAGCAGTTCCGGGTGCTCGACCCACGGGCTGCCGTGCACGCAGCGCGCACCTGCGGACCCCGGCGCCCCAGGCCGGGAGGGGGTGCCCCGGGGAGGGGGCAGAGTGCAGGATGCGACGCGTGAGCACTGGCGTCGGAAGTCACTCCGCAGGTGCCACGGGGCACGACCGCGCCCGGGAAGAGCGCGGACTGTGGCCGGGAGAGTGATGCCAGGAGGGTCCCGGCATCCGCCAAGCCTCGCAGGGCGCAGGCTCCGCCAGGACCTGGGCTCCGTGAGCGGGTGCGTGGCGCTCCCTCCGCGGCAGGAGACCCGCCGGAGCCGCCCTGGCGAAAACGACTTCACCCCACCCCCGGCGTTGGGGCCTGGACCCTCACCCCAGTATCCAGCAGGCCACAGCCGGGGGTGTGGGGGGGACGCTGCGGGGATCGGGGCGGTACCTCCCGCCGCATGCGGCGCGTCCCGTGCCCGGATTCCAAGCGCCGCCAGTGCAGGGGAGCCCGCCGCGGCCGGGGGTGGAGAGGAGAGAGCTGGGTGTCGGGGAAGATGCGGCGTCTGGGGGAAAGAAAGGCGTCGCGACGCGGAGTCGGCATCTCTGCCCCCCTCCCCCGCTCCCGCGCGTTGCCCCCGCCTCCAAGCGGATGAGGGTCCGGGCTCACCAGCTGGAGACCCCGCGCCCGCCCTCGGCCCAGCCTGGTGCCCAGGGCCCTGCAGGGGTGACACGCGCCAAAAGGTGGCGGGAAGGCGCCGGGGCGGGGCGGGCCCCGGGACCCCTGCTCCGACGCGGCCAGCTGTGGGGGCGGAGCGCCGGTAGGCAACCTTGGCCGGGGCCAGGCCCCGCCGCCCCGCGTTCTTCCCGCTCGGTCGGCCGAGAAAGGCGCTAACGCCCGCGGCCGCCCCCTCCCCGCACCTCCCCTCTCCGCGCCCATATAACCCTCCTGGACGGGTCCGCCGCCCTCCCTACCTCCTCGCTTTGCGGCCCGCGCCCGGTAGGCCCACCGAGGAGTTACGCGGTGGCGAAGCCGGGGCCAGCGCCGGTGGACTTGGGTATAGATGCCTCGGGCTGCGACGGCACCAGGTAGGCAGTTCAGGAACCCGGCACCAGGGGCACCTGGGCGCGGTTCGCCGGGCCTGCGGGGGTCCAAACGGAGGACAGCAGGCGCTTCAGCTGGCAGCGCGAACCTGGGAGCTGGTGGCCTGGAGACTGCACGTGACCTAGCAGAGAGGGTGACAAGGGTTTTTCCCCACTGGCTCCTGGAGCTTGGCTCAGGGGCAGGGAGGCTGCCAGAGCCAAGCCCGGGAGTGGAGGCGGGGTGGGGCCCTCACTGCGATGGCAGGGTGGGGTGGGGTGGGGTGGGGTGGGGGCTGTTGGGGCCAGGAGCAGCCTCACTGGGTTTCGGGAGGGCCTCCCTCCTGCTAAGCCTTGGTCACCCCAGCTTCTGAGGCAAGGTTCGTCATGTGCGCAGGGGGAGGCCCGGATGGGGTGCAGGGGCAGGTGGAAGCTGGGAGCGTGCCTGTCCCTGACAAGCTCCTCCCCGCCAGGGGGTCCCCACTCACACTGCACCCGGAGGCCTCCGCCCCATCCCCGGCGCTGGGGAGGCCCAGGTGTTCTGGTCCTGGGGAGCTGGGCATGACCGCTGGGCTGCATCCAGGCGTCGTGACTAAGGATCTGGGTTCCAGAGGGGCACCTGCTGGTGGCTCCGGGTTGGCCTGGGGGGCCGGTCTGCCCCAGGTGCAGAAAGGACAGGCCTGTCGCCGGGCGGGAGGCCACCCCTCGTTTCCCGGCTCCCCCCTCTCCCTGCCCCCCTGCTCCCAACCCCCACCCCACCCCACCCCCAGCCACTGGCCTTCCAGCCTTCAAACGGAGGGGAGCTATTATTACCTTCTTACTCAGCCTGTATTTTCGTCTGGCCCCTGAGCCTGGGTCTACAGAAATAGATGGGTGACAGGTAGAGCACTGTCAGCCACCGAGGGGCTGGGACAACCGGGCGGGAGGTCGTCTGCCCAGAGGCCGTGGGGCTCGCAGGCACCGGGGTCTGTGCGCACAGCGCCCGGGCGCCCGGAGACCTCTAGCACGGCGGCTTCGGCTGGGTCGGGCCTGCTGCCCGTGCTGCTGCTGTCCGTGGGTTCGGCCTCCGTGGCCAGCCTCGGGGAACAGGCGCTCTGTGCGCCCGGATAAAATCCGCCGCCTGTCTCGGGCGTGCATGCGTGTGTGCAGCCGTCCAGCCGCCCTTCCTTACATTTCTTCAGTAGAAGATTCAAAAAGGCAGTGCACTGAGAACCAAAGGACGGCGTGTTTGAAATTCTGCAACTACACGAGGTTTTGTGGATTGTGCGTGCCCTTTTAAAAGTAAGGCCAGCCCCGACCGGTGTGGCTCAGCGGGTCGGGTGTCACCCACACAGTGGAAGATCACCGGGTCGATCCCGGGTCGGGGCGCCTGCCCGGGTTTCGGGCCAGGTCCTCATTCGGCGGGGCGCATGCGAGGGGTACCTGATGGGTGTTTCTCTCAGACAGCGGTGTTTCTCTTCCTCCCTCCCTTCCCTGCTCTCTGAGAATAAATAAATAAAATCTTCCTAAAAATAAAAATAAACTAAAAGGCAGGAACCAGAGTTGTAAAGCCAGGTCCGTTTGTCTGGGGTGTGGGTGGCTCCGGAGGTGACGGGGAGGCAGGCCCGGCTGTGGGCACTTGCAGAACCACACGGGTGCTTAGCGCCGTCTTGCAGACCCTCCAGCGAAGGCTCTGGGACCAGGGTAGCTGTCCCCAAATTCTGAAGGGTGGCCGCACGGAAAGGCCAGCCTGGGGTGGTGGTCGATGCAATAATGTGGCAGTCAGAATGCCAGGGTTCACACCCCCACTTCTCCACCGACGAGGCATGGCTAAGTTACTCAGGCTCTCCGAAGCTCAGTCCACCCACCTGCAAGGAAGGGTGGCAGTAGTCCCTGCCCCCCGGAGGGTTGGGAGAACAGTGAACGAGAGGCCGTATCTGAAGTGGTCTTCGCACAGCACCCGGCACCCGCAACTCGGGCCCCAGGGTGATGGCGGTCGGTCCTCATTGCCGCTGCTGCTGCGCCGTCTGCAGAGGTGAGAGCCCTTGGTGGGGAGGGGCCGGGGGAGGCACAGCTCCCGGTCGGTCGCAAGCAAGGGTCCGCGGGGGCTGGAGGGAGGGAGCCTCGGTTTGGTGTGTATGTAGAGTGTGCCCCCCCAACCAAGAACGGGTCCATCGCACGGAACACGGGCAAACAGCACAGCCGAAGCAGAGATGGACAGGAGACAGAGGAGTTAATGAGGAGAGACACGCACGCAGGACCCGTGGAGGTTCTGCCCACAGTCGAGGGTGGCACCCACCGGAGACGCCGTCGCCCAGAGGCACGCGTTTCACGGGTGGGTACACGGGTGGGCCCCGTCTCTGTCTCGACTGGGGGCAGTTTCCACTCACCGAGTTCAAGGGGAATTTATCATCCGGATGCGGCTGCAGAAGGCCCGGCGCACGCGATGAACTTGGGCTCGCAGAAAGACACAAACACCCCTCGGAAGTGTGTTCCCGCGCACCAGCGCCCAGAAAGGGGACCGCACGCCCCTCGGGCTCCAAGGCGGGCGTGTCTGCGGAATGCCCAGGGGCCATCTCAAGGCGCGCGCTGTCTGACGGCTCGGCCCCTCAGAGGAAGGAGGGGAAGGACCTGCGGCAAGTGGACAAGTCACCCCAGCGACACTTCTCTCCGGACGACGTGGGCCTCGTCCCCGGGCCGGCTCCCCCCCACCCACCCCGGACTCGGGACCATCATCTCAGGGGCTACCGGGTCCCGCCCACAGAACACAGAAAACTCGCTCGTAACTGGCAGCACCCACGGGTGTCCGCAAAACACACACTGTCCTCTTTGTAAAAGCTCGCCTTCTCCAGGAGGCCACATGGGACAGCTGGGAAATCCCTTCCTCGTGTGAAAGGCGGAGGGAGATTGATTCTGACTGACGGGAAAGCCCCCCCGGCTCACTGAGGTTCCGCCTCAGGACCGCCGACACGGGGACCAGCTCGGAGTGAGACAGGCCTGGCGGTCACCAGCCTCCCGTCTGTCCCCCGCCCCGTCTCCTCTGCGGCCCGTATTCCGCGGCGGGGCAGACAGTCGCTCCGCAGAAGTGCCCCGAGTCAGACACCCGGAGGAAAGAAGCTCAGCCTCACACGTGTTCACCAGACACCTCCTCTGAGAGCTGACGCATGGTCGGTGGTGAGCTCAGCCGAATCCTTTTTCTCCACCCTGTGATGGCCACAACAGCCCACGGAGGAGAGCCTGCAAGCAGACCCAGTTACAGAGGGGGAAACTGAGGCCTCGCTGGTTGGCCCAAGTGCACACGCCTGGGAAAGGAGAACAGCCCGGACTCGGAGCTGCTGGGGTCCCCTCTCCCCCAGGCGTGGCGTGAACACCAGACACAGTTTGAGACCCCCAGTCCACGGACCGTTCCTGGGTGGGGAAGTGGGGGGCCTTGGAGACCGTGGAAGCCAGAGGTGTAGAATTCAGGGGTGCCACGCACGTGGATGGGGGAGACTGCACCTTTACCTGTGCACCCCTCAAAGGAAACGTCAGCATTTGCTCCAGCGCCGGCTGCAGGCGACACACCAGCCTGGCGTGCGCCGCTCCCGGGACTCTCCCAGTAGGAGTAGCCCGTGCTCACCGCGCACGGCGGGCGCTGCGGAGCTGTGGGGTCTCTCGGGTGCTGGGTGCCCGCTGGAACTTGTCGGCGCCGAGGCCTGCTGTGGGGCCTCTTGCCGAAGGAGTGGACGCGGGGGCACGTGCGCGGCTACGGCACAAACTCTTCTTTTCCCATGTTACCCACCCGGTAGCTCCCCAGGGCCGCCCGAGCAGGCGGCCGCGAGCAGGGTGGCTCGGGTGGGGTGCGGGGCAGCACCAGCCTGGGTCTTGGGAGGCGCCTCTGAGAGGGCGGGCCTGGGAGAGGACAGCGGAAGGAGAGCACGGGAAACAGGTCTCAGGCCGAGCAGGGGACCTCGTGGGCGGTCACTGCAGAACCAGTGGCGGGGGACTCCGTGGGCCTCGGGGACGGGACCAGGTTGCCCCAGGACCGAGCCAGGGAAGGGGGCAGCTGGATCTTGGAGGGGGGCCGGGCACGAAGGGGCAGCCCCACCCGCCACTGCTGTCTGCCCTCCGTGTTCGGGGCCTGGGAGCGGGTCCCGCCAGGAGGCGTTCCGTGTGCCTCTTCCGATGCACTTGCTTGGAGAGCCAGGCATCCGGGAGCCCCCCATCACCCCCCCCCCCACACACACAGAGGCACCGAGGCCAGAAGGGGCAGCTGATGTGGCAGGTCAGGTGTCAGCACGGCTGCCCACGCCTCACGCCACCGTGGCCACGGTCAAGTCCCAGGCTCTTCCCTCGGTGGGTGGGGGAGGGGTGCGGTGGGGGCTGCCTCCCTGTGTTCTGGGACCCCTGTGGCCTCTCTCTGGCGAGGCCCCGGCCCTTCCCTCAGCGAGTGGCCCTCAGGAGCACAGCTGACAGCCCGGAGGGCAGCCCCGAGGTGCCCAGGAGGGGCTGGTCCGGCCCCCTCTCCCTCCGGGCAGGAACCAAGATCATGGGCATTGCCAATGCCAGCCCCCAGCCGCCAGGGTGCAGGCCCGGCCAGAAGGGCCAGGGGCCCCACGTGGCCTGTGTCACTCTCGTCCCTCACCTGGGGGAGGTGCCTGTCCTTGCAGTCCCCACTCGGCGCCAGCGGGTAAATCGCCCCCAGAGACTCCCCGTGCGTGTGGGGAGGGGGCTGGGGCGCTAATTGTCACCTCCTGCCCCCCCCCGGGCCCCGGGGGGGCGGGGGGAGCAGGTATGCTGGGAAGCCTCTGGCTAATTGGGCGAGTGGCTTCTCCTGGAGAGAGGGGCACCTGGGTGGTGCTGTGTGTGTCAAAGCAGGCAGGGAAGACACCCCTTCTCCACTCCCGCCGGTTTGCTGGGACTTTCCGGGTGACGTTCTGGGCTGCACTTTCTCTGCCGGGCTGCAACGCAGGAGCAGCAATCACACCCGGGGTTTTTCTTTTCCAGGCTTCTGGCGTCAGGGCTCACCTGCGCGGTGCCCACCTGCCAGACGGAGGTGGCTCCTGCACATCCCTGGGGGCTGTGTGGGGGCTGGGGCTGTGTGGGGGCTGGGGCTGTGTGGGGACGAGGCTGGCAGCCAGGCCCCACGTGGGTCCTGCCCTCCTGTGCGGGCAGTGGAGGGGGGCGGGCTGGGAGGGTGTCTGTGGCGGGAGAGAGGTCTCACTTCCACAGAGAAAGTGGGGGCGGCCCTCCCTAGATGCCCCCGGGCTACAGGAGGGCCAGGTGTGCCCCGGGCAGGACGCCGATGACGGAAGCAGGTCCCCTCCCTCGCCCTGCCTCCTGCAGGGTGCCAGGGAGGCTCTGCTCCCGGGACGCAGCGGGAAGGGCTGCCGGTCCTGGGCGCGAGAGCGGGGAGGACCGCCCGGGTCTTCCACGGGCTGGGACCCACATGCTTCCCGCCGTCGGCCAGCGGTCCAACAGAGGCTGCGGGTGGCTCGGGGTCCCCCGCCCCTGCTCCCTCTCGGAGGGGGGCGTGCTCCGGCTGGTTCCCGGGGCCTTCGTTTTCGCTCAGGGCCGCCCCTCGCCCGGTTGTTTGGCGGCGACGAGGGAGGTGTGACCCAGTTGTGAGCCTGTCCCCGGGCTCTTCGAAGGGAGCCGTCAATTAGAGAAGGGGGGGTATCGGCGATCGGGACGCTGATTGGATCAACGCG